AGCTGCCTCCGCATCGGCTGCGGCCCCCCGCCGTAGCCGGGGGGAACCTGGGGTCCCATCGCTCCCTGCATGCGGAAGTTCCCGAACGGGCCGGGGCTGCCGAGGAACGGGGCGGAAGCGGAGCCCACTTTGGCCGACCCGAAGTCATCCTCGAAGGGGTTCGAGGCCACCAGGTGGTCGACCATCGGGGTCGGCGGAGGGGCGAACTCCGAGAGGTGGGAGTAAGCAGGGCCCTGGAAGAGGAAAAAACACAGGAATATAAGCACCACGCGAGGAGGCGTTCTTAACCGACACTCCCAAAAGTGCAAATAAAGAACCCCAGCCCTCCTGCCACAGGATTCCATATCCCATCATCCCCCACCAGAAGGTACACCGGCTGATGGGAGCGACTAGAGATCTATCCATACAAGGAGAAATGCTGGATTTCCAGGGGCCGCCGGCAGTTGCCAAATCTCCCACGACATGAGGATCTCAACGGGACATGGAAATGCTTAGGAACAGATTTCTGCTCCTGGAACAAGCGTATGACGCAGGGCGACGTTAACAGCCATGCCCATGTGCCACGAGCACGCCCACCCGTGAAAGGACACGCTACCTGGGTGTTGGACTTCCGGCGTTTCTTCTCGGGGCTCTTCATTTGAAGGCCTGGTTAGGAGGGGAAAAGAGAAAAGGCGTCATCAGCTTCACAAACAGAAGGAATCTCTTATTGTTCTGTGTCCTCAAGTGGGGACTGACTGGCGGCAGTCCGAGGCGGCCTTTCAGGGCAAGTGTGGCATTTAGGGAGTGCTTTTCCCCATCTCAACTTCCCCCAGGTGGGAGTTTCCAGGCTGAGTAAGGACTCGAACCCAGGTCTCCCTCGCCCTACTCCCTCTGGGTACCCACGCTTTTCACTTAAAACTGGCTCGCCTGGGACAAAAGGCCTTAAAAGAAGGCTTTGAGGCTCAGCTAGGCCTAGCACTGCCTCAACTTCCTGTTCCTGTCCCAGGGCTAGCTGGGAGTTTTTTCTTTCTTAACAGAGAATTAAGGCCCAGCTGAGCCTCGAAACCTTCCGTGGCGGAGCTAGGGAATCGAACCCAGGCCCCCTGAGTCCTCGCTCATTGCCACTATGCCATACTACCGAGGCTGCTGGGCCTTGAGAGGTTTAGGATCTAGCCCAGAGGCTCCTATCCTTGGGTAGCCCAGATGTTCTTGGACTACAACTCCCAGAAGCCTTTGCTGGCAGCTTTGTAGGCCGGGACTTGTGGGAGTTGTAGTTCCAAGAACACCTAGGTTACCCAAGGTTGGGAATCACGGTGCTGAGCCAGGAAACAAACACGTCTTTCCAGCCTGACCGACAACGCAGGGCCTTTTTTAAGTCCTCTCAATGACCCCAAAGGTTTTACAAAGGCAATTAATACCTATTTACGAATGATAAAGGTCTTGATAAAGAGCAACAAGACACAGGAAAATAAATTACAAAAATATATAAATTAATAGGGCCAAAGGCCCCCAGATATAGGCCTTTACACCTCTTGAAGGATGATGACTATCCACCCCAAACTGCTGGCAGACACAAGGCACCTCCCAGAGACAATCGCCCCCCCCCATCATGTATGCCTTTCCACCTATTGATGGATGAGAAGGATGATGACGACCAACCCCACATGGCTGGC